GATAATAATTGTAATGTTAATAAAATATTATCTTATCACATAGTATAAAGTTTTTATAATACTTTTTACAATTTTGCAATAATTAACTTTTTCGTAAAGATGGAATCACACGATGCTCGATTTCTTGAATGATAACATGTATACAGTCATGATGTATGCTATTAGGTGTTGGAATTAATTCGTAGCGTTTTTTAATGAAAGAATGTTATTTATTTCACATGAGCATTAAAAAATACATTAATGAAAGTACTTTTAAAACTTATAAATACTTTGTAAAACGCTACGAATTAATTCCAACACCTAATAGAATTCGTTCATTGAGCTCTGTATGCTGTATATACATAATTTTTATATTTATTATGAATTAGCTTCATAGCTTATTTCCTTACATGCTCATCATTCAAGAAATCGAGCATCGTGATTCCATGTTTAGAAAAAATGAACATCTGATAAAAAATGAGTCTTAAAATTAACATATAATAATGCTACATTTTTTTTATTCTTTTCCTATCACAGGAATCATTTGCAATTGAATATTTACAAGTGAATGAATAAGATTTTCGAGAATCTTTTCACTTCTATATAAAATAGTTTTCATTCATTTATATGCATACTTTATACTGTTCTATAAGATACAAATATATGCAACAATTTCTTTTTTTTTTTTAAGATTTTCTCATAAATCGTCAATTGTCTTTAACTCCGATAGGACTATTTAACACTATAGAGACTAAGTTAACTTATGGTCTTGTACAGACAGGTGTGTCAGTTTACGCTGCACTTTTATATTAATCTATATGTTATATAAAAGAAATAAAAAACAAAAATATAAATTGATTTAGGAAACTACAAACATGTAAAAACAATATTATATAACGTTATCAATAATACCACTATTATTCAAATTATACAATTTGCAAAAGAGAATCGTAAAAATTTTATTTTCGCTTTGTAGAATTCATTTTTAACTGATTTTGTATAGAAATAAGTCACAAATAATATATGAATTATGAGTTTTTACTTCTAATTATCTGAATAAATCATATTTTTATCAATATTAATAAAGTACAACTGTAAGTTTTTTTCGAAAAATAAAAAGATGTCTCTTTAGAAAACCTATATCAACGATTTTCCATAATATTTTTGATCTATTAAAACGCGTATTATAAATTATAAAAAAATTATACATTTTATTGTTAAAACATGTATTTTATAATTCGAAATATCTGCATTTCACTTTTACATCTCTGGTAAAAAAAAGTTGATAAAGAACGAAAGAAAAATCCTATCGTTTTGAACATAAAATGAAAATCTCCATTTTATATATACTACGTAGATATCAATGACAATTAACATTAATTATGATTTAATGAAATTTTAATCATTTTAATAAAATTAATATTAATTATAGTATAATTCATTCTAATTCATTCTAGGAAAGCATATTAACACATAGACATAGATATAATTTCAAAATATGTTACAAGGAATAAGTCCCAATTTCGTATAACGTATAACTCGCTTTTAAATCTATTTAGTAATAAAGTCCCTAATCCGCAAATGAATTGTGCATTATTTCTAAAAATTTTTATTAAGTAAAAAATATAATATTAGGTGTTGGAATTAATTCGTAGCGTTTTACAAAGTATAAGTTTTAAAAGTACTTTCATTAATGTATTTTTTAATGCTCATGTGAAATAAATAACATTCTTTCATTTAAAAACGCTACGAATTAATTCCAACACCTAATATTTAAATTTCTATTTTCATGAGAATTACGTATAATCAAAGACAATAATATTATGTCGAACAATAACTGCTAATATTACTGTAATAAATTTCAAATTTTATTACTACAATAAAAAAAGATAAGGATAAAAAATTTAATATTAAAAAGTATTCAAAATTTTTCTTTATCTTATAAAAAAATATTTATATATGCACATATTGAATATGAAATATATCAATACTAAAATAATAATTTGAATATATATAACATTTCTTTAATTTGCGAAAAATAGTTTATAATTAAAATGTTTATTGAATTATTAGGTGTTGGAATTAATTCGTAGCGTTTTTTAATGAAAGAATGTTATTTATTTCACATGAGCATTAAAAAATACATTAATGAAAGTACTTTTAAAACTTATAAATACTTTGTAAAACGCTACGAATTAATTCCAACACCTAATATTTGCATGAATTGAATTATGAACAAGACGGGCGCTGAAGATCTTGTTTATTTTCGATTTTTTATTTCTATAATTTTCTACTTGTTATCGATGTAAAAATCCCTGAGATGTGCCTATAAGCGCCACATAATTCATAAAGCTTACCGTTGCATAGAAATGAAACTTGTCGCTTGGAGATAATATTGCTTATAAGTTTCCACGTTTTGGCTAAAAATCTAAGGCGTAGGAGATCGTCCATTAGTATGGAGAGGATAATATTATCAAAGGAAAATATTGTCCATCAATCTCCAGGAATACGCATATGGTGCTAGTGTTATTTATGAAGCCTCCTTATATGTAGTTAATAAGAGCAACTAGGCTTGTCAATACATGTGTGTGCATCCACGGTTGTTTAGCATTCTTCCGACCACCAAGATAGAGGAATGCGCTTATCCACGACAGGTCTTGATCTTGGTATGCGTGAATCTGGTGAGAACAAAGAGTGTAAAGTCTTGGTGATATTAAGTGCTAGACGTTTGTATTGGTCTAAAGTGCTACTCTCGGAATTCAGAAAGGCAGGTTCATTCTTCACCGATAGCTTATATCTAAAGACCCTTGTTTGCTGCGTTAAGCTTGATTTTATATTTAAACTGCAATTCCAACCTGATATTTGCATCTATACGAGCTATCACAGGAAAATGGTCACTAGACAATGTATCCGACATGTTGTCGGATACATATCCATACATTGCATATCCATACATATCCATACATTGCATATCCATACATATCCATACATTTACACCAATTCATTTTTCTTCTTCTTCTTTCCATCTGAAGAAAACGGGAAGAAAGATGAACTGGGGAGCAAAAGTTCAGTTGAAAAGAAGGTTTTCTTCTTCCAATTAATATGGCGCTCGCCATAAAAATGACGACGAATCCAGCCAGCCTCAGGAGGAAACCGTGTGTTCGATCCTGAGCAACCAGGCGGATACGTCACTTAGAGAGGACTAGAGAGATTACAATTCCACCATCCCTAATATCGTAGAGAGCTAGGAAGTGCAATACATAGAGGCCCGTATTCAAAACGCGCTTACAACTGTTAGCTAACATGCTATAATTTACGTTACGCATATTATAGAATTTCAAAGATAACGCGTTTTTATCGATAAAAGAGCGTTTTGAATACGAACCAAAGACTATATCTTGAGGTTTAAGGATTTTAAATAGACGCAAATGAGGCGACATAAGTTAGATAGGGGATTTTTTATTATAGTGTGAATATATGTAGAAAAATGTTTTTTGAGATAGGCACGTAATTTGTGGGACTTGCCAATGCACTATCTACAGTAAAATAAAATATGATTTATGTCCTGCCCATGATGTAAATATACAGGTGAACCATTCCCATGGATGCGCAATATTATAAAATTGATACTGTACTTCTTGTGCAAGAAAAGATTCAGTATCAACTTCGTAACGCGAAACAGGTCGGTATTCATAGTCGATTCCTACATTTAAGACTATCTTAAGTTAATCTTAAAATGTCTTAAGTCAATCTTAAGATGTCGTAAGCCAATCCGAGGATTGTATTAACTTCTTAAGACATTATATTTAAGATTGTTTTAAAATAAAAACAGACTATGAATAACGCCCCATGTTTCGCATTTCACAGTTGGTAGACTGCGCACTGTGAGACGACGCGGAGCAAAAGTAGGCACGGTTTGTGAACACACCATGTAATTCTTCCACCACGTTTGTTATGTTCAGTTTTTATTTTCCTAACAGTAACGATGTAGTATTATCCTTGAATCTGAGGCTCTATGTAAGAAAAAATTTACACGTCTTTCAAGAGTTCCACATAATAAATTTTGAATCGTCTTCAGTTATGTACATAAGTGATCTTCCTCCAACAATTCGCCACAGTCTGTGCAATACTTAAACAAAAATATAAAAAACTTAAATTAAATATGCAATTTATAATATATTAAAAACGTGTAATTTATCCATTACAATGTCGATTCTACAAATCGACGAATCGGTTGTCGGTAAGTCTTATCGGTGAATTGGTAAAGTTAGCCAACAGCCAACTTGTACGATTGTATCGATTTTCTTAAGACTGACCAAAGGGTTGAAGTAATGATGTTTCGTGCTCTCCTATTGGTAGAGTAACATCAACCAATAGCGAAGCATTTTCCAACCCAAGTTGATGCAAACTCGGTCGGGCCGAAAACGCTATAACTCATTTTTATTGCCGGACATGGGGCTGACTGTTCCATCTTTTGATAAATTTTACGTATTAGATAAATCTGACAATCCGTGCATGTGATAATCTTGCTACCCAACAGGTAAAATTTACTAAAAGGTGGAACAACCGAGCCATGATGTCATAACCGCTGTTCGTATTAGCAGTGCAGTTACACTTTGGGTAACACTTTTTGCCCTTGGTATTGAGGAGAAGTAAACCGTGCAAAGATGATTGAACGCTAAAATGGTGAGTAGAATGGAAAGGATGGAAAGTATGAAAGTAATACACATATAATTTCTTAGGTTAACTTTTTACAGTTTTTTAACATTAAGTTTATTAATAATTTTAATATAGAGCGATTCTAATAATTAAAAAAAAGCATCGAATGCGTAGCACGGAAAAAGTTCGCACTCAGTGCGCACTAATGCGGTCTGCCGAATTCGCTAATAGTCATTCATATCAGCAGATTCAATTGTTGCGGAGCGGATTTATAAGCGCTCGATGCTATTGGTGTATTCTTCTAGATTATCCAATAGCAGCAAACGATCCTAACGGCTTGAATACTTTGGTTGCGGACATACTTTGAGTGCGTTCCACTTAAAGTCTACGACGACCACGACTACAATCGCAGTATTTGCCGTTCCACTAGCTTATGGGCGCTGCGGATGAAATCTTTAGTGGAACGGATTTTATGGGTGAACAGTCTCTATCACATGGATGGTAACATTAAGGTAATCGTACTGCGCTGTATAAAATATGAATCTGAAGACTCATCGAGTTCTGATGATGAATGGGAATTAGTGTTACGTAAAAGGAAAAAGCGTACATTTCGTCTGCGAATTCCGAATTATGTCGATGTTGTGGTCCGCTACATGGATTACGATTTCAAAAGTCATTTTAGGTTAGTGAATATACATGATTTTTCACTTCCAATTATCCACACATGCTTCTTCGTCTTACATAAGTTGTTGATATTAACAATAATATTTCTTTATAGAATGTCGAAGGTGAATTTGAATTTCTTTTATACATGCTCAGGCCATATTTAAGACAAATAAAGAGATCTCTTATGATACCATCACATCATCAATTAATTGCTATTTGGAAAATAGCAACGATGGACTCCTCCAGGTAAGGAAACATTCAACACAAAATAATGCAATAAATAATTATTCACAATAAAGTATTTGCATTTTACATTTTTAAATAAATTTCTTTCTTAAGATCTGTTTGAGATTCAATGTTGGAAGAGACACTGCTCTTCGAGCTGTGCAAAGGGTCACTCATGCATTTTTCTTCGATATAGTACTTCATTCTGAAGTTCAAAACATTGAAGAATTAATTAACGAAGTATTTCAACGATCACTATTGTGAAATTGTAGTCTTCCATGTGAAAATCGAGGACCATCAATAATCTCGTGCGGAAATTGAAAAATTAAGTAAGTTTCAAATTTTTTATGAAAAAATTTTTTATAATGTGTAAAACTTTGATTTTTTGAACTATTTAAACAAAGCTCATTATGGTTAAAGTTAAATGTTTGAATTAATATCTCAATATGTATTAAATAAATTTATGTTAGAAATATGATTGCATGTTGATTTGTGAGGATACTTGTCAGGCAAACGAGAAATCCGAGTTCGATTCCCGACTGAGGTAATATTTTTTGTAATAAGTTTTTTATAGATTTCAAATTACCTTGGAGAGATTATTAGTATCTTAGATTGATTATGTTGTAAGTCCGACAGCAATTGGTGTGCAATCATATTTCTAAGATAAAATTTATTTGATATTGAGATATTCATTCAAATTCATTTAACTTTGACCGTAATGGGTTTATGTATTTAGTTAATTTATTAAAATAAACGATCCTGTTCCTAAATCTTACTATTGTTTTATTTTAGTTTTTTTAAAGATTTATATCCAGATACAGCAAGTATCTAAATGGAGTAATCTACAAGACACTTATGTCCAAAAATTAAATGATCAAAATAAATGTGTTCCAAGTGCTGCTAAAGCCAAACCTAAGCCAGTATCATGACCATATTTTGAATTAATGGTATTATATTAATGGAATTTATAATTCTTCATATAATTTAGATATATTAAAAATGCATGATAAATAATTATCACTGTACCAATACAGCTTTAGTGGAAAATAATAAACAAGGTAGTTCAACAGAAAAAACATCTGTTAAAAAAAAATAAGAATAAAGAGGACAAACTGTAGAATATATAAGATGAGATATTGATAGAAGGTATATGAACCAAACCATGTTTATGAAATCATACAATCCTTACTAAAGAAAGAGGTCCCTTATCTGTGAAAGAAGTGTATTGGAAATATACAAGAAATTGGAAGGTAAATATTTTATGTGATCACAATTTTTATATTATTTACAATAGTTACAATTTATTTAAATAAAAATAGTTTTGTTACTGAATTTAAAACATTATTTTTATGAGATTCATCAAGATGTTTTGTAACTTCTTGTATATACTATTTAAATGAGTATGTGTTGTATCGATAAACCATAAACCTATGATGTTAAACTGAAGGTGGTTTTCTTTATCATTTAAGTGTGCAAGACATTTCAATGAGTTTCTATAAAAAATTCCTCCAAAATATTTATTCATTAATCTATTGTAAATAACTTTGATGTAGAAAATATTAAAAAGCGCTGGAGAAATCTCCGTGATTGTTACATGAAAGGGAGAAAGAAAATGACACATCAAGTGGTTTCAGCAGCATCAACTTCAGATAAAAAAAAGATGATTTTCGCTTTTTTGATCAAATGCAACTTTTAAATGATTCCATAATTTCAGGAGAGTAAGTTAATATCCCATCAATAATGCATATTTTATACAACTTTTGAAATGATTATGTTTTTAAAAATTGTACGATTCTGTAAGTAATGTTTCAAAAGAATCTGAACTGATGAATGATAACCTAGACACCGACGGCTACTCCATAATGCAAGAACCAAGAGAACATAATGAGAGCAGTTTTGTAGATAGCCAAGTTCGAAGAGGACAATACAAAAAAATCTACTTTGAATCTACTTTTGGAATAGGAAGAAGTGTCTCTCATACAAGTAGTATCTCTTCACATGAAAATTGTAAGTTGTTATGCCTCAAATAACACATTTATTAACAATAAATAATAATAGAATAAATGATAATAGAATGAAAAATAGAATGAATAATCATTTATATGATCATAATACAATTGTATTGTTTTCAACATTCGAATTATATATTATCATGCATATTATATCGTAAATAAATAATTTTTTGTTTTAGGGCGGAAAAACACAATCAGGTGATGCAAAATTTAGAAGAGATTTGATGAAAATTTTAAGTAATACCATCACCTGCTGATGATATTGAAGTTTTTTAATCCAGATGATGTTTTAAGAAGGTTACCCTACAAGGATTATAAATTACAAATGAAAATCCTAAATGATGTGTTAGAAGCTGAAGAAAAAGCAAGTCTCTTAAATAATTAATATCCAATTCCACCAATTAAATTACCAATTAACTTTCTCGGTTTAACTTGTTCTTCATCTTTTTCTAATTCATAAGGGCATTCTACAATGCGTTGCAAACACTCATTGTCAGTTGAAATGTTTGTCGTGACAATTAATAAAGCCAATGTTCATGATGCTAGAAATCGGTCCGAGTTCTCGGATCGAGAAATGTGTAGTCAATCAATTTTTTGATTTTCTGTAAAAACTGGAAGCTGATTGATACTGAACTATACATTTCTCCGAGAACTCGCTATGACGCTCATTTTCAGTGTCAAAATAGGTCACGTGATTACGACATATCGAGCGACAATTTTGATCACGTGATCCGTTTTGACATTGAAAATGAATGTCGTATCGATACATTTCCGTTTTATCGAAAAGTAATAAACAAGGGATGTTCTTGAAAGAATAAAAGACGATGTATTCATACGAAGAGAACTACAAAAGAAACAAGAATAAAAGCTAAACCTAAATATCTTGGAAGAAATAAAAAAAGACATGAGAAAAATGACACTTGATGAGCTACCAGTACAGTATGGAATAAAGAAATTATCAAATGTTGAGGAATATTGCAAAGCACAAGGTTGACCATTAATTTTGGTGAAAATCACTTTATATGAAATTATTATAAAGTATATCACGGAAATAACAAACGTATATTTAGAAATGTAGTTATATGCCAGAATATACCAAAAGTATGTGCTTTATTGAATAATTACAAAAGGAAGGAATAAAAAACGGAAAGGCGACTTCCAAATGTGAAGTCTTAAAGGATGTGGATTAGCAAGAAAATATCAAACTAATTACATTTTTGAGACACTGGCTCAGAGAATATGGCAGGTATGACACAAACATAGTGAATATGGAACAAAGACTTTTTTTTATACTTGCCAAAATGGCCTGAAGTCAATTTTGTGTTACTTGTTTATATTTAAATTTTATAATAATCTCTCTTTTTTGGAGTGAAATTTCACTCTAAGAGAGTAAAAATACAGCGAAATTATTAGCAAAATAGAAAAAAAGATTTTTCTAATTTTCTTCTGACTGAAGTCTAAACGAAGCACTGAATGAAATAGAAAAAGTATTATAATTAGAAATAAAAGGTAATAAAAAATAAATCAAAAATGACGAAATAAAACAAAACATTTTTGATATTGTTTAAAGCATATTTAATATAAAAAAAATCTCAATCTTAAAACATTCACTTTTAAAAGAAGAGTATTTATCTTTTTGTTTATTTTAGCGGTATCTTGTTAAAATATAAAATCGAGTTCCTTGATTTTTAATTTACTCATTATTCGCAGATTAAAAATTCTCAAATTTTGTTATTGCTTCTATAAATAATTTTAAAAATTTTAAGTAAATATTGAAAACAACAGACTCCAATGATCGATCTTTACATATATGTATATGTAAAGATCATATATTGTCAAAGTAATTCGTTGCCCTGAGTAATCTTTGGAAGATTTTAGCCCGCGCTTATTCGTGTGTTCAAATGTTATTAATAAAAAAACACCATTAATATGTATTTAATTGTATATTTTAAATTATAACTATGACAAATAATAGTATCTCCAACTTCCTCCCTGCCTCAGGGCGTACGATTTCCATCCCACCTCTCCCTGCCAAGAAGTATGCGACTTTCCACGCGAACCGAGATTCATCTCACAATCAGATAAGGTGTGGATTAGATTAGGATTAAATCAGGGAAGGGAGGGGGGAATACAGAAGGATGCACAGAGTCCACACGCCCCCTTTTGCTCCTAAAGCGAAACATGATCAACAATTGTTGTTCTATTTCAAATAGTTTCGTGTAGAAAAATTACGTGTGGACGGGGAAGGGGCGGAGCCTCCGGATTTAATCCTAACCTAACCTAATTCAATCCTTATGCTAATGGAAGGTCTGTGCCTTCTTACGGTATGTGGAGCGCTATTTTCTTTTTGTCAAAGACTTGTGCCTCTCGCCTTGTAGCCACGCACGATGTGATTTCGTTAGCGTAAAATAAGTGCAGCTTGTACAGAAATATACTTTAATTCTCCTTATGACGTATTTACATGGTACTCACGCTGTACAATGATCAGCTCATCGGTCCTCATTGTTCGCGGACGAACAATGGCGATCGCGAACAACACCAACGCGCTTTGCAGCTGTAAACATGCCATGCTGGCCTAAGCAACGCCACGCTAGTCTAAGCAACGCCACACAAGCGTGATAGAGAAATCGGTATGCAGCCATGCGTGATATTTGAACGACTAAATTTTTCCATTCATATTACCAGACATTACGCGCAGACATATCATCGCTTTTGAAAGCATCCCCTTTCAACAAAACAAGTTACCAATTAACAAAAAATAGCGCATTCAAGAACTAGCAAAACAATTAAAAAATAAAAGTATAACTAATAAGATTGGGATCAAGACAACAGTATGAAATGTTTGGATGCATAAAGTAAGGATTCCCTTAAATGACCTCCCATGCGTAAGATGCCGAATGAGTCTGGTGAAGTTTAAATATCGATAAAATATGCCAGGCTGTGCTATTAGCTGCTACTGCGGTAATAACCTTGAGTTTTCCTTCAAGATGTTCTTCATATCGATGATATAAAGGAAGAGCTCTCTGAGGCCAGCTATCCTTGTCGCTTCAGCCATGGAGTGGTTCTGATCACCAGATATTTAATTGAATTGGAGAATTTGACATGATATCCCGTGACAACGGGTCCGCAGGATTGTCCTCACTGCGTACGTGATTCCACTGATGGATCGATGTTAATTCCTATATCTCTCCAATCGTGTGGCATAAAAGTTGACTATGATTGACTGCAGTCACGATAATACAATTGTAGAATTCATCCATAGATAATCCAGATAAGTTATTTGACATATAAAACATTTCAAAATTTTACTGATAAGTTGAGCTAGCAGCAATGTACACATATAACTCGAGGCGTGAAAATAACAAGCTCTATGGTACTACTCTCAATTTAGAGCAGAGTAGGCGTGTGCAATAGACACCGCTGGTTGAAGTGGTGCATAAATAAATGCATGCTCCATATGTGATTTCGTTAGCGCTTGAGAACCTATGTAGTTTCAAACAGTTGTTCTGCAGCGGTGACAAGACGAGGAATGCTTATGCTATTCAGTTCCTACAATTCTGTTTCAAAACGCTTCCATTTGATATTCAATTCCAAGGGAATCAATTCGTTTCAATTGAACTTGAATCGCCAAAGATTCTACATGATCGAGTAATGTAACTGTACCCAATCTCAGCAAATCAAAGATTAGAGAGATACGCGACAAAATACTTCATTTGGTGAGCAGCAAAAGGAAGCAGATGATTGATGGACGAGTATTTGAATACATTGGCTTGACAATCCCATGCAATAGGTAGCGTCGATTTCTCCGATAAGGAATCTGTATCGGAGGATATGATAAATTTTCTTCATTTGATCGAGGAGTGCTGGTCCTGGAGACAAGGAAGAAGACTCGCAATGCTATTTATGACGCTTTTGGATACCAATCTGCATTGTCCTCCGCTAATTTTCTTGGGGCTTTGATTGATAGAAATGGTGTTGAAGAAATGCCATAGGTAAAAGTGAGCAATTTGAAGGTCTTGATGGACTTATCGATGGGATTCTCGTCAGAAAATACGTTACAATGATGTTTGAATTGAATCGACCAGAACATGCCGAACATTTTGGCTGTATCGCCTGTATGAGCAATTTTAAATATTTGAAATCTGGCCAAAATGGAAAAAAGATCTTCTTGTAGGCCCCATTATTAATGGGTTTAGAGATAGCCCGGTCATAGTTTTGCATGAGTCATCGAACACTACCCTGAACTTCGTAGTGGAGTTCGTTTAATTTCATACAGCATGGTGTGGGAGATAAAAGGATGGAGTAATTGTACTGATATCGTGTGAATGTTCATCTCTCTCATGTGGTCTAAATATATGTATTTCGGAATTTCCCATATTCGGTATACATACAAGATTGAGTGATGAGTCACTTCTCCAATGATATGAAGCGTGTTAGAGCGATGTTTCGGGATTCTCCCAAGCTGTTTAATTTGTCTTGCCTTATTGATAGCTTAACAATAAAACTCCTGTCATTATTGCGCTTTGAAGGAATAACTCTTCACAGGCCTTCTCTTCAGGGAAGAATGGGTTAGCAGTACTATTCAAAATCCCAAAATCAATTCAACATATGCCTCAATTCACCGAGTGATATTAAATAAAAATTAAGTTTAAAGACTAGTTATATCACTTGCTGTGATACCAAAAATGATCCATCCAAAATGTGTCTTTTGCAGCGTCGGCTGAATTTTTGATTGTTTAATATGATTCGCACAAATGAACTTCCAAAAGAACTTGGCTCCTATTGAAATGTCAACGCTAGCTAATACGTTAAAATTAGGGTCAGCGGATTTTATGTATTTTGGAACAGACACATTTTGAATGGATATAAAATGTATGCTACATCATTTTTGGAAAAACAACGCAATCCATTTTCTCACAGAAATTATTAAAACGCAATTTGACGCAGATACTACTAACTATCTTATTGGCGTGAATCACTCCATTCATGACTCCTACAGCAATATCAAGAGATCGCTCCTTAATTTTTAATCAATTGACTAACTCTTTCGTTATGAAATTCATTTGAGAGCTGTCAAGTAATACTTAATATAAATAAATCTGATTTTCAGAATCGTATATATTGATAACCGCGATAGATAACAGAAAATTTAAAGAGCGATGACCTGACGTACGTGCGTGGCGACTGAGAGTGGAAGATAGGTAACCTGACACGACATTTGCGTGCTTAACACAGACTGATCGGAATTATTCGACACAATTGTTTGCAACAACGCATTATGTTTCTTGCTGCATTTCCGACAGATAATTGAGCTACATGCTTTCGCTTGGTGCGTGGTTGATCGTAAACAATTAAGACAAAGGGGGGCACCTTTTTCGCGGTCTTAACTCTATCTTCAACTAATAAATTGAGGAAATCTTTTGATATATTGAACATATAATGATATATTGAAGGCCTGTACTTTCTTGCATGTGAAGCGTTATTTTCTTTTTGTTTGAGAGACCTGTACCTCTCGCCTTATATTTACGCACGATGTGATTTCGTTAGCGTAAAATAAGTGAGGCAGCTTGTGCAAGAATATACTGTGGATGTGATCCACGTTGCAAATACAAAAAATGTAATCTTCATTGACCAATCAGAAGAAAGAATTTATGAAATGACCAATCAAAGAATGCTTCAAAGCATTTGTAACATGAAATGGATTACATCCTTTAATTTTCTTTATGACATATTTACACCGTAACTCACGCTGTGCAATGACCAGCTTGCTCAATGGTCCACACGCAGAAGAATAATGGAAGACACATGATCGCAAACAATTAGCACACTTTACTTACGTTCAGAACATACATACTGGAAGAATTAAGTAATTGTCGATAATCTGTCCTTGTCTGAATGTTGTCACCGTATTGTGTATGCATCGATTACTATTATATAGTGTTTAAGAATGTTGTATTATCTCCGCTCTCGCCTTAGAACATACACATGTACATTCAAAACTCACGCGCAAGCGCACAGCAAACTTTCAGACAAAAACTGTTGGAGACACTTTTATTACATTTGTCAGATATGGTATAGCCCTTCCAGTATGTATGTTCTAAGGCAGAGTTGGTAAAAAACATGTTTTAAACGTGTTTTAACAAAACATGCTTAATTGATGTTTTAAATATGTTTTTTTTTATAGTACTGTTTAAAGCATATTTGAAGCATTAAAACATAGAGAGAGAAGAAACATAATATGTTTTATTCTTAAAAAAAAAAGTCTACCAACCCTGGTTCTAAGGCTATAAGCACGTCATGGCCTAAACAGCGTCACACTAGTCTAATCAGCGCCACGCAAGCGCGTTAAAGAAATCGGTAAGCAACCATTCGCGATATTTAAACGACTGAATTTTTCCACTCATACTAACAATCATTACGCGCAGACACTTTATCCGATTGTGAGATGGATCTCGGTTTGCGTTGAAAATCGCACGCTCCTAGGCAAGGAAAGAGATGGGGTGGATCTCGCTTCACATGGAAAGTCATTAATTACTATAAACAGGAAGGATGAAGTAAATTTTGTGTTCTATTTATAAAACTTGTTTAATTATTTTTTAATAAATAATGAGCGCAGGCTAAAATCATTCGAGGATCACCTAGGATATGACAATATATGTCAAAGTCGATGTCATTGGGCGTGGGTCCGTTGTTTTCATATATAATTACAAAATTTTATATAATATAATAATTTTTAAGGAACTTATGATGACTCGTAATATAACAAGCAAATACACAGAGGCTGAAATAGCGTATAGGGATTATTATAATAATTATGATGCATCTGTATGATAAAAATAATAATAAGCATAAGCTAATGTGTATGCTAATAATTAAGTCATAACGGGCTAATATTTGTCATTCAAATGAAATCCCTTTTCACGAGCTTTAAAAATAAATATTTTATAGAGCGAATACTTTCATGACTCTTGCTATATATCTCTACACTTAATATACCTAAAACAGTTGTAATCTTTACATATAAGTTTCACAAGTGTTATACTTTTATATGTATTATATATATTTACTTTTATATACATATATGTTACTTTTATATATATATATATATATATATTACTTTTATATATATATATTTCTGGGCTGTATATATATATAGTATATATAATATGATTATACATGTGTAATTTTTGTGAATGTTAATATATTTTGCAAGAAATTATTTAAAGTGACTGATGAATAAATAATAATAAGTGAATATGTGCGATAATATTACTAATATTGCGCGAAGAAAGCTTTGGATTGTAAGTGCTTTAATTTTGATGGAATACAGATAAATATATGTATAATAGAAATGTGCGAATCAAAGTTTTTCGACTTTGAATCGAATCGAACCGATTCGAATCTGAATCGAATCTGGGAATTGATTGCGTATCTGGAAATAAGATGAAAATTACAAAAGTGAGCAAATTCACTAGAATACATCATAAACACGAACGTGGTTTATAAATCAAAACGTATGAAACGAAATATGTAGAACAAGAATTTCCAGATTCTAATTTGACAAATTAACCTATCATTAATATCTTCTAATCCAAATGTATGAGAATCGTTACCTGTTTTATAGCAAAAAAATGATGAATCTCAAGTACATCCTTCATACAGATGGAAATTTGTCGCGACAATTGTGTGTTATTATTTGTCATATCATATATGTTAGCACTATTTATATATATAAGTCAAAAGTTTAGAAAGTTCTAGAATTATTTAAGCGTGAGAGAGATCTTTCTTAAGAAGAAGCAGATAAACATCAGGCAAATCAGTGTCACTTTGCTTATTGATACCACTTATTTGATCTTTAATGTATATTATTTCAGAAATTCTTCTTTTCATTAATGATTGTTCTGTATCTAAAATTCTTATGTTATCCCAATCCAATTCATGCATCTCATTCAACTGGTGACATGACACCACTAATATTTCAGAGGTGCATCTTCTTATGTCAGCCTTATGTTCTTTTATTCGAATTTTTAATTTCCTTTTAGTTTGGCCAACATAAGAAGATTCACAATTTAAATAATTTATTTTACAGACCACTGCACGATAGTCTTCTTTACACAAAGGATCTTTTCCAGTTTTTATAAATCTATTCATTTTATTTATGGGTTTATAAGCGATATTAAAGCTGTGAATATGTGAAAGTTTTAAAAATTTTTTTTTTTAAATTTTTCTGATACTTTACTTAAATATGGTATAATGAAAAACTTTCAACTGAATGATACGGAATGAATACGTTTCCAACTTTTCACTGAGCGCGTCACGTGTCGCGACATGAAAGAGAGAAAGAGAGAAGTTTATATATACAACACTCTCTCTTTCTCTCTCTCTCTCCCTCTCCTTCGACACGTGACGCGCTCAGTGGAAATCTGGAAACATACCCTAATGTAATTAGTAATACTGAACATACCCATTGTATTTCATAGTTGGTAACACTGTGAAAGATGCACGTTAAAATGATTGCGTTCAGCAGAAAAAGCAGCTTTGCAACTATTGTAAGATAGGCTGCGTTCAGCAAAAGTCAGCGCTTAAGAAGCGCTTTGTACTGTGCTGCCAGCAGTTTGCAATTTCTGCTGAACGCACTTTAGTCCTTATATGTATCAGTGTATAATCACAGTGTTGCGACCAGTGTATTTCGGTGTATTTATCGGAATAATTTATGGATAATGGAAGCTATAATTTTAATAGCGATAGATGACTTAAATATAAACGATATAATAAATAATTGCGGAAGATTTGGATCAACCCCAATTATTTGATGATTTGGAGGTTAGAAGGAATAAAAGACCGTGAAACGAAAATTATTATGAATTAATAATCTCTCAATATATTGATGTATAATTTATTGAACACTTCAAGAATGTCGCGATGCACTTTTGAAGTATGTAGTATACACACGAATATATACACATTTATTTATTTATTTATTTATTTATTACTTAGGATGCTTTCCGTTTCACGCATGATGTATCATTTTATTTTTCTCTAATATTTGTTGAACAATAACGATACATTATGCGCATCATGCATGAAATGAAACGCACCTTTAATCATACACTATAGAATTTTTTTACGTGAAATTACAGGAACTGCTTCATGTAACTGCTCCTCTCATAAATGATTATGAATTTGCAAATGTTAATGTAGAAAAAAAAATGTTTATGATTTGGGTACTGGCTAAATCAGAGTTTTTTAGCTGTTGATAATAAATTTAATTTGGCAAAAGTACAGGACACGCAATATTTAAAAATGTTATAAGTGCTTGGGCACAATTGATGCCTCAGTACGTGCAGTGACCAAATGCAATATACAACAGCAATATCTTGTAATGTATCTTGTAATGTATTAGGTGTTGGAATTAATTCGTAGCGTTTTTAATGAAAGAATGTTATTTATTTCACATGAGCATTAAAAAATACATTAATGAAAGTACTTTTAAAACTTATAAATACTTTGTAAAACGCTACGAATTAATTCCAACACCTAATATATTGTTAAATTTGTTATATATTTGACTTGAATTACTGAAAGTTTATGTTATTATAAAATTATGTTTACTATAATTTTAAAATATTAGGTATTTCAAAACCGATTGCGTGGATTTCCAGGAATAATAGGTGCTATAGATGGATGTTATATCCCTTGTAAACAACCCCCAGAAAATGCACATGATTATTACAATAGAAAGGAATTCCATTCTATTATATTGCAAGGTAAAGAGAGATTATAAATTAAACAAAGTAATTTTTTCTCTTTTAATAGATATACATATTAAAAAATTACCTACTAAAAAATAATTATAAAAATATTTACAGCAGTTTGTAATCACAAAGGAGTATTCATTGATTGTCATATTGATATGCCAGGACGTATGCATGACGCAAGAGTCTTCAGAAATAGCCCATTATACAATCGAATAAGAAATGTACAGAAATGCCTCTAATTCTAAATGATGTTGAATAGGAGAGATTCTGCATATCCCCTGATGCAGAATATGATGGTTCCATTCAGAGATAATGGGTATTTGCTACCTTCTCAAATAACATACAATGTTAAATTAAGTTCAATAAGATCTATTACTGAAATAGCTTATAACCGATTAAAAACTAAGTTTAGAAGGCTAAAATATTTGGATATTGCGGATTTTGATTTAGGAAATGAAATGAATTGCTGCAGCTTGTGTGCTCCATAATTTTATACGATAGATTGAACATAGCGATAGTCTATAACTGAATGACTATTCTTTAAATAATACTGTCTATCGAGCTATGGGTGACACTCCTTCGCAACTAATGTTTAGAGTCACTCAAAAAGGGAAAACTAATGATATGTTACGTAAAATGTTCGAATCAGATGTGGATCGTGACCTCAAAGAAATTCGAGATCGAGCGTCTGTAAGTATCGAGGAATTACAATCTAAAAATGAACAGCGCTATAATTTGCGAAGAAAGGCCGCGCGTCCATATAAAATTGGCGACTACGTTGAAATTCGAAACATAGAGACCATCTCTGGTATCAATAAAAAGTTGTTGCCCACGTTTAAAGGACCCTATGTGATAAAAGCTGTCCTCGACTATGATCGATATGTCACTGATGTAGAAGGATTTCAATTGACTCAACGACCATACACTAGTAGCGCTAGATCAAATGCGACTTTACATTCACCAATAGTTTGTAATACATGCGTATTTCTTTTATATTAACTTTGTTAGTTACAAGTTTAGTAATAAGTTTTGTACATGTGATGTGTGTGCGTTTGACCGGCACGATCAAAGAGTCAGAATGGCCGAACTGTAGGCATATTTCGTGAGACACTGTTATTTTGCGTGATGAACATTGAACGTTCGTCTCGAACGTTCTCGTCTTGCCCTTTCGCGGAAGAAGGAGACGCGAATGGAAATCCCGAAACCATTGGCGCGGTTTTCCATATTCGGCGATTAGCCGTACGTGATCTCGCGATCGCGCTAATTGATTGTCACCCTATCCCTCTGGCGTAGGGAAGCGGGCCCTGGTGACACGAACGTTCGAGACCTTCAGTCTACAATTAGATTTTCCGTGTAGCGGATTATCAAACTTCCCTACAGAGATTTACTCTTATTGATATTTGCTTATTTCAGGAAAGAAGAAAAATATCAACAAGAAACAAAGTCAAATTCAAGCAATTCCGATTATTTCGAGGAATCAAATTAAAATATAAAAAATTATAATTTCCACGTGATTACTGCGATTACCTGCAAATATTAATTTTGGGAAAAAAAGAAAGTTTTATTTACTTATTGTATATTTTTTTCAAGTTTATATGCCTTAAAGATAGAGATTTATGTTACTTACATGTGTATAAGAAACAGTTTATTTTTGAAAGAAAGTTATCTTTATTCACTTCTCTTTATATACTTATTCGAGTTAGCGTATTATTAAATAATAGAGATTTATGCTTTTTACATTTGTACAACATTATTTTTAGTAATATTATTACATGTCACTAAATATATAATTAACTTCATTTTATGAAGTTTAACTTAACATTATTAAAAAAAGAAACAAGTTTTTACATGTATTATGAGAAAATACATATAAAAATATATAATATGCATATATTGTATATTTTTTATTTTATATTTATAAAATAAAACGATATTTGTTTCTATGTTTGCTAAAACTGATTACAGTCATATACATACTTCATCTATCAAGTATTTTATCTTTATATGATACAATAAAAATCAATTATCTTCATTTTTCATGATCGATCACTTTTAGGCCTGGTTAATTATCTGGTTAATTTGTGGTTAAGCTTAACTTGATGTTTCACTCAAAGGATTTCCATATGACATGATCACATAAACTTATTGGATAAAATATCAAGTTAAAGAGATGCTGGAACAAAATAGCAGGTTGCAGTAACTTTATATTAAAATCGAAAAAAAAAGGTAAAAATTTCTAACTTTTTTCGATTTTAGTATAAAGTCCAATACAGCACCTTTTAATAATCTTGTGTTTACTTTAATCCTATAGAAGGATTTCTAATTCCGTTTAGTCGGAGATTTTTATACTGTATTATGCAGATATTCTCTATGTCCATTTTTATGCAATAAAAAAAATTAAAATTTCATATTATAATATATAATATGTATAATGATATATAAAATTTAATTCTAACGTTGTAAAAAGATATTCATGAATACGAATTACAATTACATTTTATGTGTATTATGATGTATGTGTACACATACAATGATACAAAAAATATTATTATATTATTGACATATTAGTGAAGACATATAAACATGTTAGTGAATTAATGATATATGCAATATTAAAATTATATTTTGGATACATTATTGTGTATATGTACATTGTAATTCATATAAAATATAATTATAATTTATATTTACTAATAATGTTTTTTTATATTTTAGAATTATGTATATCATAGTATGATATCCTTCTGCAACTCACTCCTATAAAACAGTAAATTGAATCGTTCAAACAACAAGTAGAAGTACTAACCATTAAAGCACGCCGGGGATATTCAAGAAGCCGAAACCGACGAGGTCTCCGAGGATTGATTTCCATAAATATAACACTAAATAAAATACTATATATTGGTACTGTTACGCTATTTTTAATAAAGAAGCTTACAGATGTAAACCACACTATGCTTTGCGAAATTCTGAGATAATCTATACACAACAGATGGGAAACTAAACAATCTTGACCGGAAGCACACAAGGAAGCTACTTCCAAGCAACAACATCTCATAATCGCAGTTCCGGTACACATGCTATTTAATAAACACCAGTGTAGATATTAGCATAATATCAAAATTAAATGTAGTCAAACACTGAACAATTTAATACTTTATGCAGCAAACAATATGCAAATATTCCAACGTACGACCATAAGCTCATCAACGATATTACTGTTGGCTAAATTAATCGAATTTACATTTAAAGACTGAAGATTCAATCCATCTCACAGTTTAAGAAATTACAAAGGTAGTATATAAAATAATTTAAAATTATTTAAGTACTTACGATCTAACTTAATTAATACAGGATATCATATCTTTCTATTTGTACTGCCGGTCACAGAAAGATTGCAACACTTTTTTTCGATGGGTTTCAGAATGCAGCCTATTCACCAAGCGATTGCTTCTTATTTGTGGATCCATGAATAAGAACTAATTGCTCGATGAAAAAGCTGCATTCCGAAACACATCGAAAAAAAAAGTGTTGCAACCTTTCCGTACAATAGCATGTATAGTCCTGGGCACACTTTGTTTAATGTTGTATATTTATAAAAATGTATACATTTCCTGACTTTTTAACATGTGTTAAAATGTTGTGGTTTTAATGTAATTCTGAATGTCTAACTTTTTATTGTATTTATATCTAATTGTAATGTATTTTTATTTATTACAATTTATGAAAATATTGGAAAATTTATTATTGGAATTTTTTCTGTTACAAAAAGGAAACAATTTGATTGTGATGTACAAACAGTGCATAAAAATTTAATAGAAGAATTGCTTGTAGAAAATGAGCTCAAGAAAGATGAAATTGATAATTCCTTGGAGCTGATAAGTACATTCTGCGCAAGTTCACCTATTTCCGAAAAAAGCAGGTATGACTAGATGTGCCGCAAATCCTTCACAAAGTAGAACATAATAACGATTAGCAGAGGAATCTATCAATAATTAATTTTTTGATATTATTATTGCAATTGTAATATTTTTACTAGACCAAGATATTTTATTCGTCTCTGATATTGCAGAGGGCGCCAACTATTCAAAAGTATCAAACATTGAAGAATTGTATTTTGATGTCATTTGATAAAGCGAGTCCAAACTACGTCGGCTGCTGCGAGGAAAATAGGGGAATGTAAAAATCACTAATTTCTTACAAAAACTGCGTAACCTAGCAGGCAAAATATGTGGAGACTCATTACTAACGTTCTCTATTCATCAAACAATTACTCGGATAAATTTGGGCAGTTTTAGCTGTGGGAGGTCATTGAAGACATCGTTACATTAGCAGTACCAGACAAAACAATAGAGATTATGTAATTAATGCATTCGCATCGCTGCAATCTCCCTGCAACTCACTCCCAACTTGGAACAACAAATTATTTCCTTTAAACAACAATTAGAGGCGTAATTAAAGCACGAGGGAATGCTTAAGAAGTCGAAACCGAGGACGAAGCCTTCGAAGGTTATTAGTCGTAAATTATTACGACTATTAAAGATTAAGAAATTTTACAATAAGTAATTTTGTTGAATTAATTATCGACTGATCAGAGTTTAGTCGAAGTTTTCCTTTCAGCGCTTCTCGTGTTGCGCGAGCTTTAAAATGAAGATTAAAAAATCTATTTATCATATCGCCTTTAATCGGGGTTGACAATATTTGTGTTCTCAACAACCGTCATCTGTCATTTTACGGATTTTGCGAACGCCAAGGCGAACATATTCCGCATGGTCATTATTCCACCGCGATTTTCAAGATATTTCGCGAGACTATTTTCTTGAGATATCGCAAGGTTCAATGAGTTGATCAATTGTTTTGCAGCATTTCCAATCTTTTTAGCATTACAAGGTTTATTATACCATGATTATGAGTTCCACATGCATTAATATTATTTATAAATACATATATTTTAGTTACATAATTTTATGAATATAATATTTCACTATATTTATCTATGTATGTTATCACAGTTCATACCGGATATGAATCTGTTTCTCCAGAGAAATCATCATAACTTTTATCAATATATCATAACTTTTTTTTTGGTACATTGGATATGAAAGCTAACTATCAAGATGTGACAGATAGATTTGGAAATTCCATAAGTACACTGTACAATGTTATATCCCGAGTTATAAATTTTTTAATATCCCTTGCACCAAATGTCATCAGATTTCCTACATTGCAAGAGAGACTATTAAATAATTTTTTTTCGGCAAAAAAGATTTCCTGGAGTAATAAGTATATTTCAAGAAAATAATATTGTCATACATGTAGGATTTCGATCATTTCATTACTAATAATCCACTACGTCATTTTGTGATTACGTTACAAAAATAATTAATTTTTAATCGTACAAATTCGTTTTATCAAACAAAATAAAAAAAAAAGGAAATGTCACTTGCTTTAAGAAAAACAATCAATGTGTTTTACATTTACATTAATTAAATATCGCGATAAATGACAACTAATAATAAATAAAATCATTCAATAAGAAACTCAATATTATCGAGCATTGATTACACTCATCACATACAGAAAAATGTTCGAAATACATCACAAAAATATTTGAAAGATATAACATATTCTACATATATCTCTGAGATATTCCTATGATGTATTTTGGACACATCTGCTATGTGGAATAGGACCGTTATCAATCATAAAACCTCTAATATGCCAGATATTTTCTTGCTCGCGTACAGCATCAAACGTTTGTGTCAGTAGGAAAACATCCACTAGACAGTTATAAGTACTTGCAGTACATTCGCACTTACGACTTTATCGCGACATTCAGTTCAACAATATCATTAGTCTATGTAATTACAATTATATTAGGTGTTGGAATTAATTCGTAGCGTTTTTAATGAAAGAATGTTATTTATTTCACATGAGCATTAAAAAATACATTAATGAAAGTACTTCCCATCACTTGTAAAACGCTACGAATTAATTCCAACACCTAATAGTAGTATAAGATTTTTTTTTATAATACAATATCGGCAATTTCCTTATCAATCTCTCTCTCGCTCTCTCTCGCTCTCTCTCTCTCTCTCTCTCTCTGTCTCTCTCTCTCCCCCTCACTCTCTGTCTCCCCCCTCTCTCTATTAATGGCAATTAATACTTTTAAAGTGTAGAATTAAAGTAATGTAATATCTTTGTGAATACATATTATGTAAAATAAAAATTTCTGCTAAGCTAAAAATTTGTTCAAAATTGAATTGAAAATAAGATTTGATTACATTTAGCGTGTATATTTATAAAAATCAATTATTAATAAGAAATGATTCACTTTCAGTTTCTTATAAGAAAGAAAGTCTTTTTAGTTTTCTTATATTTATGAGAATTTTTCTGCTTTCTCGTTTTAAGATTCTTAATAAGAATTTAATATCTTAGTGTATTGTATATTCGAGCCAAAAAATTATATATTCTCTATGTATTAATTACTTAAATATCATTACTTACATTTTTTTTTCGATTATTTCACAAATACAAAAATTGCAAATAACATTTCACGCGATATCTACTCATCGAGTTCACAAGAGGATTGACACGTGTGTCGTTAGAAAGTCGTTAAATCAAAATTCAAGGCCAGTCGTGATATGGACACATATCATATAAGTTCTTGACTTACCAATGTGTGTGTGTGTGTGTGTGTGTGTGTGTGTGTGTGTGAGCGCGCGTGCGCGCGCGCTGAGTGTATGTTGAGAGAAAGAGAGAGATAAAAGATGTTTCAGGTCATACACGTGCGTCAACAATCGTAGAAACGTAAATATATGCCTAGTCCACGCTCGCGCGATTCTTGAAGTTGTAAAATGTTGTTACATTCTACTCCGTAAAAGATTTTCAATGAGAAACATAAGTATTTTCGACGTATTTAAGAGGAAATCAATAATAAAATAATTTATCTCGCAAATAGTTACGATTCGCAAATAGCTGATTGCTTATGTCCGTAAAAATAGTAAAAAAATAATAGAATAAACGAAATGACTTTGGAAAGAGAAAAGTTGTATTCCTATAATTATAGAATACAGAAAAAGTTTGTTGAAGCTACTGACGTAGGAGTATATTAAACGTAAACTCTTTGTAAGTGGCTACAACAAATAAACTTTTTCTGTATTTTGCAATTACAGTTCGGAATACTTTTTTCTTTCCAACACCATTTCGTTTATTCTATTATTTTTTTACTATTTTTACGCACGTAAGCAATTAGCTATTTTAGAACCGTAATATTTGCGAGATAAATTAATTTTTTTGTTAACTTTATCTTAAATACGTCGTTTCGTTTACTCCAAAATAGTCCTATCTCAGACAATTATAGAACAGTTACTGTTATGTTTTATTGAACGCAGCGAGGGAATAATCACTACAGCTAAAATATTGTTTTACACAGATTACATAATTTCGTTCGGTTTCATACGATTTCATAGTTAAAAATTTTCTTCGCTACATGTTAAGTCATTTGATAAAACAATTTTATTTATGTTACACAATGATTTCTTGTGATTGCGTAGATAATTATCGGATTATAGATAAGGGTTTCACATAAATTTTATTATTGATTTCAAAAACATTGTACTAAAATTACACAGGATTCTCCCCACAATTACTGTGGAATTCCCTACAGCGCATCACTCTCACTCTCCTACGTTACTTACACACACACACACACACACACACACACACACACACTCGCCGCAGATGCTTCAAAATATGAAGTGTGCCCGCCCGCTTCAGGCTATTCTCGAGCTTTCGCTTTCCCTCACCATTCGCACACGCGCAGCCTCCGAATGTATGTGCGTGTGTGTTAATAGAAAGCGAAAGTTCGAAAGCAGTCCGGCGGATTTCATATTTGAGAACGATGTGGCGGATACAAGAGCGGCAGGGGGATGGAGAGACTGATCGCTTCTCCAGAAAGCTCCAAATAGTACAAACAAATTTCGTGTATTGAAAAAAGTCGGTTTTATATGAATTGAGAATTAAAAAAATTATCGGATTATTCGGGATTAAATTCATTTACAGTATAGCTATTATACCTATGCGACCGCGAAAGCTAGAATTTATTATATATTAAAATTTGTTTTTAAATTACATTTTATATTATGTATATGTATATGTAAATATACATATATCTGATTAATAACATGCTGAATATCAGGCAAGTATACTTAATATTTCATGATAACGATGATTAATAATAGTAATAATGATAGTAAACACGTAATAAAATAATAAAAGAATAAAAATACTAATAAAATGTTAAAAATAATATCAACGATAAAAATTACAACAATAATCAGTAAATACAATTTATTATAACTCCTCACCTCATTTGAAATAACTGAGTTCATCCTTGTTTCGTCCCGGAGGGATCACGCGCTCACTGAAAGGGACACTTTTTATGAAAAGCATTCGCGAAACTACGATTCAATATAGGCAGACAGGGAAGTACGCCGTAAGAGCTCTATTCTACCTGCAAAACACGGTCATCCCCCTTCGTCAGTCGATCCATAACTACTTTCACGAGGCAGTTCAATCCGGTTTGAATCGAAGGGTGTCTCCCAAGCATAACAACAATGGATTCCTCACCATTTACACGCACATACACACACACTCGCGCAACTGTTCGAATCAAAGAGTATCTCCCTCAAGCGTAAATATGGATCCTTTTTCATTTGCACACACATATTTGCACGATATTGTATGTGAGCAGCCAGGGAAAACGAGAACGGTGCACAATGAAGGGAATTACGTTGCGCTCGCAAAAAGGAATATTGGCTACATTCAGCAGAACACAAAAATTTTCAACCGTTTTATGATTGTCTGCTCATTGTGAGAGACTATTCCTCTAAATCTAAAGATGTTTCTACATAACCCGCAAATCGCAAAACGTAGTTCGCAAACGCAGAATGACGATCACCGCACGCAAGACACACAGACAAAACTGCATGCAATGAAAAAACAAACGCAAATCTTCATTCTGCATTTGCGTTTGCGAATTACGTTTTACAATTTGCAAATTATGCAGAAGCACCTTAAAAGTATACAATCCAATTAGCGCGAAGAAAATTTTGAACAGCTGCAAAATAAACATTCATATAAACATTTGAATATAGCCGTTATCAAAAAGAATCCGCAAACTTTATTCAATAAAGGAATATAGGGAAGCACCGCGTCCGTGCCTGATTCAAGTCTGTAAAATCTGATTCCAAAACACGATTGTCCTCCTATTGTTAATTATCCGCGACCTTTTTTTCTCGGAACAATACACTCGCGATTTTTTTCTCAGAGCGGTTTAGATACGCGGGCTTCCCTATATCGCGGCTGCGCGAATATGTGTTCATGAATAGTGAGGAAATCAATACTGTTACGAGAAATCATCAGCGACGTTTACAATGAAATTTTAAAACGTAAAACTTAAGCTTTAAACTCTAAGCAGTAAGAAATTGACTAATCAGTCGAATGTAAGGAGAATAATTAGCTATGATTTGTCAATTTCTTCTGGCATAAAGCTTAAAATTTAAGTTTTACGTCTTAAAATCTCATTGTAGATGTCGCTGCTTTTGATTCAAACAAGATTGAACTGCTCCGAGAAAAAAAGTCGCGT